CGGGCCCGGGGGGAGCCGGGGGAGCCTCGGCCGCCCGTGGGCACCGTGGCCCAGCCCGCGCCTTCCTCGTGCGGTGCCAGGCGCCAGCCTCCCCTTCCTTCCCGAACTCGCGTTTTCACCCTCCCCCGGCTTCGGGAGACCAACCGGGAGCCGCTCTTCCCCCCCACCCCCTCTCCCACCCAGCTCCCCGTCCCCGCTGCCTCCTTATCCAGCCCCCCAAGGGCAGAGGGGCCTGGGTGCCCATTTTAGAGCTGGGCAAACTGAGAGCCTAAGACGTCCGGTACGTACACCGGGAGACGGGGGAGCAGGATCTTGACCAGCGCTGCGCCTGGGCTCGAGGGACCGGCAGGCCCTCCCCAGACACCAATCCGGCCGGTGCTTTGGCGGTGGAAGAACCCGGAGCCCTCCCTTTTAAACCTAGAAGCTTCACAGATGAACTTCGGGGCTCTGACAGCACCCCATCTTCCCCTGAAGTAGAAGACAAAATCTCCTACATGCAGTTTGTCTTGGGAGAGTATCCACGGCTTTCATCAGAAAGGTAATAACCCCATGCTCTGCAGAAGGGCCCGAGAGCCGGTCTCCACTTGCCACATTTCATCCGTACAGGTGCCGGATAGAGGAAGGTGTTCTCTCTCTCTCCCACTCCCTCCCTCCCTCCCTCCGTCTCTCTCTCTCTCTCTCTCTCTCTCTCTCTCTCTCTCTCTCTCTCTCTCTCTCTCTCTCTCTCTCTCTCTCTCTCTCTCTCTCTCTCTCTCTCTCTCGTCTTCCTAGTTGGGGGAGGGGGTGAGGAGAGGGCGGGAAGGGAAGGACAGTGACTTGGAGGAATCTCTGGAGGAATTCTGAAATAATCCTCTAGGGAAAAAATAAAAAGAGTTCTGAGGAAAATTGCTTTTTTTTGCTGGAAAAAGCTGGATGGGGGTGGAGTAGGAGGGTGTTAGCCTCCAGACTGGGAGTTCTTCCAGGAGCCTGCAGCTGACACAGGCTGCTGCTCCCCACGGTGGCCACAGGGCTGTTGGGTCCCGTGTGGTCCTTCCTGTTCATGAAGGCAGCCAGACACCTCTCCTGCACTGGCTCCTGGAGGCAGAGCAGAAAGGCCCTACAGGGTCGTCTCTGCCCAGGTGTTCTAGTAGTGGCAGGAGCCATGACATCATGACCACTTGCCCACCATGGGGACCAGTGCTGAAAGGGCTGAGGAGATAGGTGGGTAGGTGTTCCCACGACAGCTTGGCATGTGGTGGGGGCAACAAACTTCTCTTGCGGGTACTGGCCCGACCTCACAGTGGCACACCGACATCTGCTCCATCCCCACCTAGGCTGTGAGCACCAGGGATGGAAGCCCCAGGGTCCCTCTGGCTCAGTTGGTCTGTAGGTGATGACAAGTACTTATTTGGCGATGATAATGATGGGCCTGCACAGTGCTTGCAATTAAGTAAAGTTATCCTGCAGGGGGAAGAAACAAAAACAAATCATAAATTCAAATGTTTAATTGGGTCCTCTCTTCCACCCTCAAAGAATTCCAGAACCATAAGAAGCTCAGAGTTGGAAGGCGCCATCTTCAGTTGAGTCCCCTACCCGCACCCCATCATTGCTGATAAATGCTGGTCAGTACTGTTCTTGTCTGCTGCCTCTTACTGACGGGGACCTCACTTATCCTTGCCTGGGGGTCTGCTTCCCATGTGGGTCAGCTCTGGTGGTAGGAGGGGTTTTCTGCAGAACTGAAATGCTACCCGCTGGACAAGTCTCATTGCTTTCTTTGTGCATGTTAGCCCTTCACACAGATGATGCCCTCACCCCAGCACGTGGCTTCTCCAGCCCAAATGCCTGAAATTCTTTCATAATTTTCTTAGATGGTACTCCGTAGTTACATCATCCTACTGGTTCGTCTCCTCTGGCCGCAGTGGCAGTGACTCTGGTGTGGTGAGGCAGCCCACAGTGTTTGCAGGGCTAGAAGCATTCTATAACTTAATCTGGTTGGTGGTTACACAGCTGTAAACATGTAAATATTTATTGGGTTGTATGCTTAGATTTGTGCCTTCCACTGCGTGGAAGTTGTACTTCAATAAAATAGTGAAAAAAAAAAAGTAGAGGGGAGGGTGTAGCTCAGTGGTAGAGTATGTGCTTAGCATTCCCGGGGTCTTGGGTTCAATCCTCACTACCTCCATTAAAATAAATAAATAAACCTAATTACCTCCTCCCCAATCTTTTTTTTTAAATAGTAAAAAGTAAACATAAGTAAACAAAACCAAAGTGAGACACCCCACCGTGAATGCAGTACCCAGCCCCTTACAGTCAAAGGCCTTTCCTCTGTCTGTCCTTCCTTCCTGCCTTCCTTCCTTTGGCACGGGGCCCTTGAGCTGAGGCAAGCAGGTAAGTTAACAGGTACAGCAATAAGGTACATTCTAGAAAAGGCATGCTTTGCAAGCCTAGGGTGGTGGAGGGTTAGGATAGCAATGTCTAATTTCACCTGTCTATCTGGGAAGGCTTCATGGAAGAGGTGATTACTGAACTGGCTCTGGAAAGGCAAGTATGTAAAAAAGGTTTTGCTTATTCAGTCATTCATCTCTTTATCTCCTCTGGTTTCCAGCATCATTACCTTGTCCACCTTCTCCAGGAAGCTTTCCCAGAAAAATTCTATTCAGCCCTTAAATTCCAGCAAGCCCCATCCACTCCTTTCGCAGTACTTCATAGTGTGGGCCATTATGTTCCACCAAGTATTAGATTCCTGTTCCTGCCACCCTGCCTCTCCTGCAGCCAGTTAAACTGTGAGTTCTTAAGGGCTGGGAACATATTTACCTATATTTCTAACTCTCCCCACCCCTACCCATTGCCTCACAGAATGCCTTGCAGATAGCAAGTCCTGGATAAATAGCTGGGGAATTATTTGCATAAGATCTTTATGATTATTTTTTAATTTTCCTTTTCATATCTCCCGGTGATAACAAGTTTATCTATATTTCCTTTGTGCTATGTAGTCAAATGTCTAGCTCTAGCTAGGCACCCCGTAGTCATTCTTAAATTTGAAAGAAAACCTTGAGTAGTCCCTTAGCCACTCTTTGATTTGATTTCCCATCTTGTAAATTGGAAGGAAATTATTCCTGTCTTTCACAAGCTCTGAAAAGCAGTTTGAGACCCTAAACTATGGAAAGACTGAAAAGACTGGCAGAAAAGATCTGAAGGAGGGAAGGAGGGAAGCGCTTACTCTTGCCTGAAATCTATTCCTTTGCCTCAAGGGTCACCTCCTCCAGGAAGCTTTCTCTGACCTTCCTAGGGCCCCTCCTTGGGGCTCCTTAAACCATTGCTAACGACCTGTTTACTGCTGCTCTTAAAGGCAAGGGCCATGGGGTTTGTTCTTTACTGGGTGCGGGGATTGACTCCTTAGTAAGAAGTGTTACACAACACCAACTCCTGCTTACACCTGGAAGTTTATAAGCAATAAATCAACTGCACATCTTGGACTACGGATAGACCATCTACATCCTGCAAACACTCAAAGAGAAAGCAAACACGATAATGTAACACAGAGCAAAATACGAGCGAGATACTCTCATCCCAGTTCTTTTACACGCAGCACAGCTGCCCAGATTCCTTAGTGTATAAACCCATGGTTTGTTTTATGCAAAGACAAAATACATTTTGTTTTTGTTACTGTTAGAATTGAAAAGCTTAAATATTTTTTTAAAAATGTGCAAAGAGAAAAGCTCTGATTGTAGCATCCTAGAGGGAAGTCTCTGGAACTTGGGCCTGCTTTCATGCTTGGCAGCATCCTCTAAGTGACCAAAGGCCTGCCCTCCGTCCCCAGAGCCCTCTGGTCTCTGCTTCCCAGGCTCTCAGGAAGCCAGGCAGGAACAGTAGAGTAAAGCCTCCAGTTCAAGATCATTAAGCACATCCTGCAGTTCCTCTGACCATTCTGGGGCATGTGGCTGCCCCTCCCCCACCTCCAGATTTTTGTCTTCTCCTCCACGTCATTGCCTGGCTGGCCAGACTGAGGAGAGTGGATTGGCAGCTCTGTCTGAGGTTGGCCTGGTGCTCTTGCTTAAAATAAATTCATTTGCCTCACGGGTCACCTCTTTGAGGTGACATCTTGGTGTCAAGGACTGCACCCGAATGACCCAGCCACCCTACACCATATGAACTCAAACAGCAGAGATGGGTGTGTGTTCAAAGAAACTTCTTCACCAAATATTCAGATGAACTGAGCGCTCAGTCTGCATGGAGGGTGAAGGGGGTGGTCACTCTGGGTGCCAAGAAGGATAAGAGGGACAGGCATAGGTGATATGGCCCAGAAGCATCTTAAGAGTTAGCCCAGTGGCCACATACTTCCTGGAGAGAATGTTACATAGTACCTGGCATTTAGTTGGTGCTGAATGTGTGTGTGCTTAAAAGTGCTAGTTGAAGCTAGTCTAACTTTGAGAGTTGGAAGGACTCTGAAATTATCTAGTGCAATCTCCCACTCAGAAATCGAATTCTATTTACAGCATCCCTGCAGGTAGCCACTCAGCCTCAGCTTCAGCCTGCTCAGGTCTGGAGTCAGAAGAAGCTTGTCTAAGCTGTGAAACCTATGAAAAGCTGAGCCTCAGTCTTCTCTTCTCTAAAATGGGAAGAAGAATACTTCTCTTACTGAGAGAAAGTGTAGACAGAGTGTATAAGAGAGGAGCTGGTATATCAGTTTCTCAGTAAGTTATTATTACTATTACTATTACTATTACAATCAACGACATCACAAACTGATCTGGTCAGGTACCACTAGGACAGTAGCTAGTGAAACCGAGATCCCCCTAAAATCCAGTCCCCCTTCTGAGTTTAACCTCTCTATCCAAAATTTTATTCCCTGTCTTGTCCCTTCTGACCTCAATCCTGGGCTAACTGAACAGTAACACTTAGAGTCAGAGGACTAACCTTGCTGTTGTAGATAACATCGCTAACGTACAGAGTCAAGCTGTTTCTCCAGGGCAAGGTGAGGTAACAGACCCCTGGGTCATGGACCATCAGACCAGAGACTCGTAAACTTCAGGCATCCTGACTCCCAAAACTATGGTTAAGAAATGTCACAAGATGATGATTAATTCCAGTTTCCTTTTCTTCCCCTTTAACAACTCATGACTTAAAGATTAAGTGGGAGTGGATTGGATGCTTCTCTCCCTCTCCCTTGTTTGGAGTTCTGCAGTAAAGCCTTACTTTGCTGCAAACACCTGCTGTCAGAGTTTGGCTTTCTGTGTGTCTGGCACATGAGCCTTTTTGCTAGGTTACGATTTGGCGACCATGAAGGGACTTCTCAAGTTCCCCTGAAGTTTGTGCCAGTGGCCTGCTGGCTCTTTATCAGTGAGGAACTTCCCTGAGCAGATCCAGCAGCTGCCCTGGCTCTTTTGGCCTGGGGATCAATCTGAAGAATTCCCTTTTTGACCAAATATTAGCAGCCCTAGGCAATATTCCAGGCTTGCAGTAAAGGGATGGTTTTTGGATTGGAAGACATCTATTGGTAAGCAACCAGTATGACGGTGTGAGCCAAAAACATTTTTATGTTTGTATATTGATGTCCTCCTAGACACCCATTCCATTGCCAAGTATTGGGGGAGGGTTTGGGTTTGATAAAAGTAAGAGCCTAAGGTTGCTTTTGGAATTGGTTTGACTTTTGTCTCTGTGTGTGTGTGTGTGTGTGTGAGCGTATGCTTGTGTTAAAAAAGGTGCAGTATGTTAATTGGCAGACATGGGAAACAAAAGTTCAGTTTCTAAAAACAGCCTTTTAGGATACGTCCTGCAAAATTAGACCACATTTAGCTATGGTTCCATGACTAAAGCAAAAATTATTTATTTATATTATATATACATATATATGTGTGTGTGTGTGTGTGTGTGTGTGTAATTCCACGTGGCCACAATGTTCTTTACACTCTGGGGAAAAATGCCTACGATGGAACTCATTTGATATCCCCAAACTGGGCTGCCAACTTAATAAAACACCTTTTCAGAATTCTTACCCTCAGGAAACAAGTCCTTCTGAGAGGAACCTGCTTTCCTCTCCTTGTGCCTTTGAGATGTAAACGTTCCACCAGGGCTCTCGGGAGCTTTTATGTCACTCTTGTCTAGACCATGTCCAATTCCTGAGACTGAAGGAATAAAGGGAAAGGAGGCCTTTTTAAACTTAATCTATTCCAACTCTTATTTGTAAACTAGTGAGTTTTACATTGTAATACCTGATACACAGCAAGTTTTAAAATAAAGCTTTGAGTTCTCTGGTTGTGTGTGTGTGTACATTACAAATATGTGTCTTTACCTTCGGATGATATTATCAGAATTAATTTGTAAATGAGCTCTATTTCATTGGCTTAAAGAAAATTAAGCACTTATATAAATTCTCAGAAATATAAAAGAAACTAACCCAAATTTCAGGTTCATGTGATCTGCAAAATATTCACTATTACATTAATATCTGGTATTGAAGTTAGTTTAAGCTTGTTGGTTTAATTCATATAGACATGTCTTTAGAGTCATCAACATTAAGTATAATACTTTTATTGTACCTAGGTTTACTGAAAGTCAAATAAGATCTAACCTTCTTTCTGTTTTTTTTTATTGAGGTCTAATTTACAATATAATGTAAGTTTCAGGTTTACCACATAGTGATTAACAGTTTTTAAGGGTTATACTCCACTTATAGTTATTATAAAATATTGGCTATATTCCCTGTATTGTACAACATGTCCTTGTAGCTTATGTATTTTATACATAGTACTTTGTACTTCTTAACTCCTTAACCCTATCTTGCTCCTCCCCCCTTCCCTCTCCCCAGTGGTAATCAGTAGTTTGTTCTCTGTATCTGTGAGGAGTTTTATTATTTCTGTTACAAAAATTTGTCAGCAAGAAAAATAACTTGATAGGATGAACTTTTTATAAGTAAATTAAATGTCAATGAAATGAGAGCTTTCAGGTAAACTTTTTAGGAATAATTCTGTTTTAGGAATATCTACTTAAAAATAATCTCTCCAGATTTTTGGTAACTTGAAACTTTAGAGTTTTGTTAAATTAAGTTACATGAAGGAAGTTTATTAAACATCTAGGTCATTCCCAAATAAAATAAGATACTAGAACAATAATTACTGGATGTAGGCTTCCTTTTACAGGAAAACTAAAAATATTTAGGACCATTAATTAATACTTTTTGGGCCACACTGAGACATTTTCTGTAAGAAAGCATGTATTTTTTTGAAACCATAAACAGTATTTATAAGTTTGCCAGTCTACAGAATGGTAATGTAAAGACAGTTCATTATTGCTTACTTTTTAATTTTCACTAGAAACAAAGGTTTTTAAAGGTTAAGAATTCTAATCAATATATGTAATTAAAATGACTAAAAATTAATAAGGGAAACATCTTTGTATGCAAGGAAAAAGAAAGTAAAAGTAATGGAAATGCATTTTGTTAGGGAAAATAAAGTAATTTTGTTCTAAAGCTGATTATTTCTAAATGAGAAAGAAAATAAGAGACAAATTAATATGAATGGAGAAAGTTGTAGAAGGTTTATGAGAAAAAAAGAGTCTATAGAAGGGAATTCTATATGTGGTCAGGACCGACTAAGATTAGAATACATTTAATTGATTAAATGAATTTTAATATTAAAGATAAGGTGGTGTACAAACAGAATTTGTTTCCCCTATGTTAAGAGGACAAAGTTTTCTTAGAATACTGAGCTATTTTTGATAACAGACTGTAAGTTTCTTTACCTTTTAGGTGATCTGTTGTAGCTTTCTGTATTTGCCTTTGAAATCTTTTCTATCACGTTGAGTAAGTATTGTTTCACAGTGATCCATGATTCTACTTGACCAAGTGTTTTAAACTTTTTAAATATTTTTGACAGACTTCCCAAATATCAAATTCTAATTGAAGTTTCCTTTGACTTTCAGCTAACTTTGGGATGATTCAGAAGACCCCTGAGACATCTCAGAGAGAGAGAGATGTTAAACTAATTTGGGATTATTTAGTATGTTAAGTTATAAACTAAACATTGTCAAATGAGTGGTGATAAACCTTCTTAGGTTATATTGTATAGGTAAAATGTCATTAATATAAATGTTCTAGAAATTATATGAAATTTCTAAGATTTGAATATATCTGGTATAATATTGTATTATTTTAATATTGTCACAAAAATAGTCAAATTTCTTTGTTAATTACAATTTAATCAGATTTTTAAACGTGACTTTTTAAGTCTTTTGTCATTCATGGACAGTTACTGTTTTACTTTAATGCTTTTGCAGAAGTGCTTCATCTTCAAGAAGATTCATCGAAAGGACTTTTTGACAAGTAAGTACAGATTGCTGATAACTTTCAGATCATACCACTGAACTGGGTAAGACATTAAAGAATTCTAATAGAAAATCTGATGTCTTCATAAAACTATTACCAAAAAGGATTAGTTACATAGGGCTGAGTGATCTGATGAATATGGTTATAATTTTTTATGTTTTTGGTCAGAAATGTTGCTGGCTTTTAATCTATGTTTTCCAGAGATAAGGAAACCTTTACCCTAAGCTAATTATGACTTGCAGCAATTTGGTAAGTTACAACTTTATAAGCAGAATTGAATCATTTAATCTTTTCTCTCTGCCTGATTGCTCTAGAAACTGGAAACTCTTAGATTCCCAACAGCTTTATCGGGTGAATGAGGAAGACCACTTCCTGACTGGTACAGGAATCTCAAGATATTTTAGGGAACCTGAGAAGGGCAGAATTCACCCAAACCTCTAGATATCGCAGGTAGAATCTGATGGCAAGCCCTTGGCATGGATTTCCTGGCCTTGAGAGGCTTTTTAAAAGTTAATCTGAGATTCCTTATGAAAAATTCTAGCACAGGTAATTTAAAAGAGCCTATGTGATCAATTACATGTATGCAAATAATCAGGTCCAGTTTGAAACCAGACTTATGTTGCAAACAACTTAGTCTTAATTTGACTATGTTTGGTAGAAATGAGGATACTTTTAAAGAAAAAGATTATGTTTCAGTGTATATTAAGTTCTAGTTTTGTTAATTGAGGTCTGTGTTTACTGCCTCAGATTCACTTCCCAGATAGCTCCTTACTGGTATGTGACATTTTTGTAAAGTTTTACTGAATTATTAAAAGGGCACTGTAAGCTTGTTTCTGAATCTTATCACAGAAATCTATTTTTGGATGACGATCAGCTGCCCCATGACCTGCAACCAGGAGATTATGCATATGGGAAATGGCTATCTCCAACCAAGAAAAAAGATTCCTTAATAGGTAGTCTTAAGTAACTCCAACTCAATAAAACCAAAGGGAATTGACTCTTCCCTTGATATTTTCCATTTACGAAGGGCCTCTGCCCTGGACAGGTCTATAGAACGGACTGATGACCCCAAATGACATCAGCACAAGAAGATGACAACAGCAGTGGTGGACAGCTGGCCCAAGAATCCAGATCAGGCCTGTAAGACCCATCCTACTAGTTCAATTCAACTGTTACCCAAATGTTATATTTCTACCAAAATTGAAAGTTATTCTTTTACTTCTAATGATACTGTTGCCCCCAATGTTCAGGATAAGAAGAAAATGCTTTAGTGAAGTTGTCACAGAGGATGACTACTCATGACATACATCACTGCTTGCTTTAAGTCTACTGCTGAAAGCACATGTACAATGTTTGTGTGACAATTCAGTATAGTTGATAAAATGTATGTTTTCCTACTAGCATACTTCTGAGTTTGTTCCCTGTGTCGGATTAGTTTTGTCTCAAAGTAGATCACTAGGTAAATATATGTAAACAAACAGGAGGCCCAGCACCGAGTGACATCATGGACCTAGCGCAAGCAGCAACCAGCCTGGCATTGAGGGACAAGTTTCTTTTTTTCTTCCTTTTTTTTTTTTAATTGAAGTATAGTCAGTTTACAATGTTGTGTCAATTTCTGGTGTACAACATAATGTTTCAGTCATACATATATATACATACATTCCTTTTCATGTTATTTTCCATTATAGGTTACTGCAAGATATTGAATATAGTTCCCTATGCTCTACAGTGTAAACTTGTTGTTTATTTTATATATAGTAGTTCGTATCTGAAAATCTTGAACTCCTAATTTATCCCTTCCCACCCCAGGTAACCATGTTTGTTTTCTATGGGGACAAGTATTTTTGATAGTCAGTGCTTTCTATTGAAAGATTTGCAAACAAAAGGGGAAATGATAGAAGAAAATTTCACATATTGAGGAATGGAGAAGTCATTCTGGCTTATACGTGATTTAACTTAAACGTTATGCTAACTAGACCTGCCTGTTTTGTGGACTATAAACATGCATTATACATCTGCTTTAACCATTAAAAAAAAAGAATGCATTTTGAAATAAAAAATAGAGTGACGCTGGTTCAGGCATCCAAAATAAGGCTGGGTGGCCATTGTGGACATGGTTTCAGACACATTCCTGTATTACTGAGAATTTAAACTTTCTGAACTATATCAGACTCAAGGACATCACCAGCCATTCTCAAAAAAGAGTATCTGCTAGCAGCTGCCAACCACAACCTTGTGGTCTCAAGGTCTCTTCTTATAACTATTAAATTTCTCTCTTACTTTGGGAATAGTGACAAATGAGACAGCTCAAGTCACAGCCTCCCAGCAGAAGGCACTAGGTTCTTTAGCCAGAATAGCACTAGACAATGAAATTGCTTTTGGTTAGATTTTAGCAGAAAAATTCCTGTGTGTAGTGGCCAATAGCTCCTATTATTTGTGTATTAATACCACATCTGAAGCTAAAACCTACTTAGATAAAATTAGGCAGCTGGCTACAAGAAGTCCCCCGAGAAGTGCCAGGTCCAGGCTGGCTTTCAGGCTTATTTTTCTGAATGTTTCGGGGAGTGAGATCTATTTCCCAATGTCTGTTAAAGTTTGAGTTATCACTCTTCCTCCTAGGTCTAATTGAGCACTTGGGTATAAAATGTGCTATAAACTCTCGCACCAAAGCAGGTGGACCAAGGGACTAAGAATTTAATCATGCTACACTTGGATCCAAAACCTGGAATTCAGGAGTATTTCCACCTCGATGTACAGTGTTTCCATGTCCCACGCTGAGGCAGGACTACGCCCCCTTTCAGCAGGAAGTAACCAGAGCAGTCATTGCCTGGGTTCGCTCAAAGATTCAGGGAAAGTTAAAACAGGAGTGGGGATTGAAACCGAGTCCCCTAAAACCAAGTTCCCCTGCTGAGTTTATGATTAACCTCTCTTTTCAAAACTTTATTCCCTGTCCTGTCCCTTCTGACCTCAATCCTATGCTAACTGAACACTGATCACCCAGAGTCAGGACTAAAATTGCTGTTGCTGATAACATCATTAATGTACAGAGTCAGGTTGTTTCTCCAGCGCAACAGACCCCTGGGTCATGGACCACCAGACCAGAGACTGGTAAACCTTAGGCGTCCTGACTCCCCAAATTATGATTAAGAAATGTCACAAGATGATGATTAACCCCAGCTTCTTTTTCTTCCCCTTTAACAACCCATAACTCAAAGATTAAGTGGGAGTGGATGGGAGGTTTGTCTCCCACTTCCTGGCCAGGGGCCCTGCAATAAACACTTTCTTTGCTGCAAACACCTGCTGTCAGAGTTTGGCTTTCTGCCCAACAGACACACAAGCCCTTTTGTTCAGTTACACCAGCAAAATGTGTCCCTGCACCAGCAGCAGCAGCATGGCCTGGGAACTTTAAGAAATGCAGATTCTTGGTCTTGTCCCAGACCTGCTGAATCAGAAAGTCTGGGGGTGCGTCTCAGTAATCTGTTTTAACAAGCACTTCAAGGGGCTCAGATGCAGCTGCTGTTTGAGAATCACTACTCCAGAGCCCCAAAGGAAAAGTCTGACTCCCATTCTACAGAGAGCCTTTCACTGTTTGAAGACATTCCTCTTGTTCTTCCTAAGTTTTGTTGTTCCCAGCGTTCTCTCTGCTTCCTTCAGTCATTCCTCATTTACCGTGTGTTCCAGACCCCTTGCCATCCTTATCTCCCCATCACATCATGCTCTGATTGTCAGTGGCCCTCTTAAAAGGGGGGGGGGGGCTCCCAGCACTATGCCCAGGGCTCCCGAGTGTCTAAGCAGCACACAGTGCAGTGAGGTTTGCTGGCCTCGTCTTCTCTAGAAACTTTGACAGCTACTCATTGAGTGCTTACTCTGTGCCAAGCAAATGGTATACAGTAACTTTTTGTTTACTTTCTTATTGAGGTTAAACTTACATCCATTAAAGTGCACAAGTCTCAAGTGAACACATTGAATTTTTATGTGTTTTTACATACCCAGGTGGCACCACCGAGATCAAGATGTAGAAAACTTCTAGCACCCATCCCAGAAACAGTAGGGTTCTTGCTCAGTGTCATGTCTATGAGAGCAGTAGTTCATTATTCTTCGTTGCTGGGTAAGAGTCCTTTATATGCATACACCCCAATTTATTTATCCCATCTACTATTGAAAAACATTCTGGTTGTGTCCAGTTTGGAGCCATTATCAATAAAGCTCCTGTGAACATTCAGGTAGTTGTCTTTTGGTGGACATAAGCTCTCTTTCTACTGAGATTACACTTGGAAGTGAAACTGATAGACCATGGGACTGATTTAGCTTTAGTAGATGCTGCCAGTCCCCCAAAGTGATTGTACTATTGTACACACCTACTTGAGCTCCAGTTGCTCCACATCCTTGTCAACACTTGGCATTGCCAGCCTTGTCAATTTTAGTCATCATGTTGGGAGTACATGAGTATCTCAGTGGTTTAATTTGCATTTCCCTCATAAATACTATTCAGCATCTTATATGCTTGTTGGCCACTTGCATATCCTCTTTTGTGAAATGCCCCTTTGAGTCTTCTGCCTACTTTAAAAATTGGATTGTCTGTCTTTTAAAAATGTATTTTGGAGTTCTCTGTATATTCTGGATATGAGTCCTTTCCCAGTTACATGAATTATAAATACCTGCTTCTTGTCTGTATCTTTAATCTTCACAATGATCCTGATATGAATGCCAATGATAGGCATTATTATCTTGATTTTGTGGATAAGAGTACTGAGGCTCAGGGATGCACAGTAACTTGCCCAAAGTCACACAGCTAATAACTATCGAAGCTGAATGTTGAGCTCAGGTCTCCTGACTTCAAAGTCTGGATCCTTCCCATGACACCATCTGCCTCTCACATTCATCTCCTACTTACACACCTAAGACCTGTGCTCGAGCTTATAGCTGTTACCATCTTCCTCCACAGGGACCACTATTGAATCAAGTCTTCCTGTCTCGTCTATGAGAAGCTGATGTATTGAATCCAAGTATAAACCTTGCTATATATAGAATAATGGGAAGAGTCCACATGATATCACTCATATGTGGAACCTAAAATAAATAAATTAATTAAAAAGAGGACACTAACGAGCTCATCTACAAAACAGAAACAGACTTGCAGACATAGTAAACAATTTCATGGTTACCAGGGGAAAGTGGGTAGGAAGGGATAAATCTGGGAGTTTGAGGTTTGCAAATGTTAAACTCTCTCTGTAAAAATAGATAAAAAAACAAATTTCTTCTGTACAGCACAGAGAACTATATTCAATATCTTGTAATAACCTTTAATGAAAAAGAATATGAAAACGAATATATGCATGTACATGCATGACTGGGACACTGTGCTGTGCACCAGAAATTGACACATTGTAACTGACTATGCTTCAACTGAAAAAAAAAAAAAAAAGAATCTGGACCTGGGAGCGGAACAGACCTGGACTAGGGTCTGGCCTCACATTTGGCTGTGTCGGCTCAGGGCTTGACATTATAAGAAAGAGAATTTCAACTGTAAAATGTCAAGTTCTTCCAGAGCAGTGGTGAGGTGAAATGAAGCATGTGCCAGGCCTCTGTTTGGGCACCCTGTGGTGCTGCTCATGTTTGTTTGCCTTCCCCTGTTCTCGAGTCTCGTTTAGTTTTGGTTTGGGTCCCTCTTCCCTGCCAGGTCCCAGTTCAGCCACGCAGCAGAAGGGCTACTCCTCCAGTCGTCCGAAGGAAGGATGGCATGTCATATTCGTAATATATGTTTACTAATACAATTGACCCTTGGACAACATGGGTTTGAAATGCGTGAGTCCACTTATACGCAGGGTTTTTTTTCAGTAAATACAGTTGTACATGATCCATGGTTGGTAGAATCCTCAGATGCGGAACCTGGGATACAGAGGGCTTTCTGTGGGACTCGAACATCCACAGATTTCGGTATCCATGGTGGGTCTTGAAACCAGTCCCCCACGATACCAAGGGGTGACTGTACTCATCCAGATCATTGAGAAAAACATTGAACACCCTCCTGCCTCCTGATTAACCTTTCCTTCGGGGCTCAGATGAGCTATTCATTCTCCTGGGGGCTCCCCACCCACTCAGAGCTACCTCAGGTGCCTGCCTTGTGTTCCCTCCATCTCCTCACTTACCACTCTTTCTTGTGGTCACTAGCTGGGGTGTCCATAATGTGAGTCAACTTGCAACAACTTGGGGATGGAGGTTGGGTCACACATTAATCCTTTTATCTCAAGGGCGTAGTACAGCACCTGCCTGGCACAAAGCAGGCCTTCAGAAAATACGAACTATGCAAATATGTGTTTAACTACCACAACCTTGAACTTATGAAAAACTGAGGCAAGAAGTAATATTCAGAGAGGGTTTCATGAGCGGTGTACAATTCATCTATTTAATCAGTAGTTCTCAGACTTGGCTATACAGATTCTGCTTGATTTATGATGGAGTTTCGTCCCCGTAATCCCATTGTAATTTGAAAATATCATAAATTAAAAATGCATTTTATGCACTTAACCTACTGAACATCATAGCTTAGGTTAGCCTACCTTAAACGTGTTCAGAATATTTACATTGGCCTATACCTGGGCAAAATCATCTAACACAAAGTCTATCTCATAATAAAGTGTTAAATATCTCATGTAATTGATTGAATGTTGTACCAAAAGTGAAAAACAGGATGATTGTTTGGGTAGAGAATGTTTGTAAGTGTACTGGTTGTTTATGCCTGTGGCTGACTAGGAGCTTGGGCTCACTGCCACTGCCCAGCACCCCGGAGAGTATTGTACTGTATCTCGATAGCCCAGGAAAAGATCAAAATTGAAAATTCCAAATATGAGGGGGAGGGTATAGCTCAAGTGGTAGAGTGCATGCTTAACATGAAAGCTAAAGGTCCTGGGTTCAATCCTCGGTACCTTCTCTAAAAATAAATAAACCTGAGGGGAAGGTACAGAGATTTCCCATATACCCCCTGGCCCCACACATACATGATCCACCCCTGTTATCAGCATCCCTCATCAGAGTGCATATTTGCTATGACTGATGACCTATGTTGACATGTCACGTCATAAGTCTCCCAGTGTCCATAGCTGACACTATGGTTAACTGTTGGTTATTCATCCCTCCCCTTATATTTCTTTCTTTTTGTTTAAACATTCAAGTTAATAAATGATTTTGTTAAAGAGATTTACACTACCTCTTGGAACTAGACACAGTTCTGTATGTGTTCCCTTTGTTGCATGACAATATTCAAGACAGCTTTGTAAATAGGCAGAGACAAGTTTTTAAAATAACATCTAGTCTTTCTAGATGCATAGAGTCTCACAAAGTATAATTTTGTAAATAATTCATTGTAAAATTTCATGGTTTCTTTGTTTTCTTCAAATGTTAGCAATGAAATTCATGTGGTTGTAGATTTCTTGAGCTAAACATAGTTGGGATCTGTTTATTGAGTTGCTACTGGAAAGCAAAAGGTAAAAAGGTATTTTCTCATCTAAAATAAAGTTTTACATTTAAAAAAATAAAAAAATAAAAAATAAAAATAAATAAACCTAATTACTTCCCCCCGCCAAAAGAAAAAAATTCCAAATTTGGTTCCCACTGAATGCATATCGCTCTCACACCAGTGTAAAGTCAAAGTATCAGAAGTTGAAACATCATAAGCTGGGGATCATATGTATGTTAGAATCATCTGGAAGCTCAAAAAAGTCAGACTTTCTGGTTTATGGAGTCTTGCGTTTGTATTTTGCAAAAGCTCCCTGGAGCTTCCTAATGCACAGCCAAGGCTGGAAACCACTGCTCCAGACAATGAACATTTTATCAACAGGAACTGCTTGTATATCTTGCACCATTTAGGCCCCTCATTAAAGTGTCTTTATTGACTCATCCTGGGTTTTGTGCTTAGTTTGAGCAACTCTAAGATACGTGAGTGGAGTTACGGTAGGGATGTTGCCAATGACCCCTGAAGTGGGTAAGAAGACACATAGGAGAGATTTCTATTGGCATCTGCACCAGGAAAAGCTGTGATTCTCCTGATGAACCAGTTCATGTTTATCTTATGGATGCTGGAAATCATTTAATGAACACTGTTTTCCAAGCTTGTACTAGCTGCCGGAATGCTCCTGGTCAGAGTCGTGATCCACCTTTATCACCTGGATAGCATTTTATGGTACATGTGTTGTGCCCTGACCTGATTCCTCTTTATTTTCTGTCCTTTTCTCTTCACCCTCCTTTCCTCATTTTTTCCCATAATGCTTTTCAATCAATATAATTCACACAGTATAAAATTTCCTCTTTTAAAGTGTACAATTTGGTGGTTTTTAGTGTATTCACATCACCACTACGTAATTCCAGAACATTTTCAACACCCCCAAAAGAGATTCTTTGCTCATTAACAGTCACTCCTCATTCCTGCCCTCCCCTTTGGCAATCAACAGTCTACTTTCTGCCTATGGATTTGCCTATTCTGGACATTTCATATAAACGGGATCATATAATTATGTCCCCTTTATTTCCAGCTTCATTTATTTAGCATAATATTTTCAAGTTTCCCTCATGTTGTAGTACGTATCAATACTTTATTCACTTTTTAATGACTGAGTAATATTCCATTGTATAGATGTACCACATTTTGTTTTTCCATGCGCATTTGGGTTTCCAGCTTTTGGCTATCATGAATAATGCTGCTACAGACATTCATTTACAAGTTTTTATGTGACCATGTCTCAGTTCCCTTGGGTATATACCTACAAGAGGATTTGCTGGATCATATGGTACTTCTATGTTTAACTTTTTTGAGGATCTTTTCTCATTAAAACCTTTTTTTTTTGTCTTATGTATTGTCTGTGTCTTTGTCAGCTGCTACAAATTCTTCTTTTTGGGAGGAAGCAGAGTATAAATAAATAAATAAATCACGAAGCACTCTCAAGCCATCTGTTTTAATAATCTGTGCTAGAATTTTGCCAAGATTCTATATCAAGCCATTTGGTCTATAGTTTCCAGAAATACCTTCTGTCTCTTTGTGAAAATCAGAACATTTTTTTATCTTCGACGTTCTCATCATTTATCCAGGTTGTTTTTCAGTCCTACATGCAAGGTATTTCATGACTCTGTGTCTAATTCATCTGACTCTGGTCCCAGAATTCATTTGCAGCCACGTAAGCTCTCATCTATCTTGTGATGTACTTAAATTTTCATATCCAAGGAATTCATGTACATGGTTAAAAATAAAGTAGAACAGAAGAGCCAACAATGAACAGTCCCACCCTCATTTCTTCTCCCTCTAGTCCTGCTCCTTGAGGCAACTGCTTCTAAGTCTTTTAGCTCTTTTATTCTGGGAGTGATTTCTGTATCTTTAAATAATGTGCTTATGCTGCTGTTTCTGTGTTTCTCAATTTTAAACATCCTTTATTGATTTATAACTATGAAAGATGAGGATTTAATTCATATAGATCATCCAACCAACCTCCCCCACCCTACTCCCAATACAGTTATACTGCAGTTTTTATTTAGTTCCTCTAAATAAAATAAAAATAAATCTGTTGATTACCCATGTTGCTTTAAGTAACATATTTATGTTTTTATTTCTCATTGCATCAGCTATTGATAGTAGTTTTGACTCACTGTTTTGTAGAATATGGTTATCACTCCTACCTCTCCCTTTTGGCTCCCCTTCTCAGCTTCTGTCTTCTGAACATTTACTTTATATTTTAAATTTTATTTTTATTTTATCCTTTTTAAAAACTTTGTTGAGAGGGCAATAATTAGGCTCATTTATTATTTTTTAATGGAGGTATTATGGATTGTGCATGCTAGGCATGCACTCTACAACTGAGCTATACCCTCCCATCTTGAACACTTATTTTAAATGCTCAGTGTCGATGATCTGTATATTTTAATTTTCTAACCATAATTAAATCTTCTGTGCTTGGCCTATTAGTTGGTTCTAGAAGGTCAAAACCAATAAATAATGCTTTTATTTATGAGAATGTAAATATTATTTATTACAGAGCCAGCAACATCCTATAATTATGTTTCTTTTATCTGTTTTAGTTTTTCATAGTTTCAGATTGCCTTTCTGCTTCCCCTTCCCCTTCTCTTCTTCTCTTTACTGGCCATGATCATTTCCTCAAGTTTGTTTCCAACTTTTCAGCTTATCGAGTATTCTATTTCTGAGATCCCTCTTTTTCTAAAGGACCTCTCACACAGAGCCCTCTCTCTCTTTTTTTCAAAAATTGAAGTGTCGTCAGTGACAATGCATCAGTTTCTGGTGTGCAGCACAATGTCCCAGCCATTAATATGCATACATATATTTGTTTTCATATTCTTTTTCAGTAAAGGTTATAACAAGATATTGAATATAGTTCCCTGCGCTACTCTCTTATGCTTTGATTTGGGCGTGTTGCTTTTCTGTTACACAGCTGTTGGCTGGGAATGTCTTCTTTTCACTGATGCCCTAGGCTGGTCCCACTGTTTTCTCCTTTCCTTCCTTCCTCCCTTCCTTCCTTCCCTCCATCCTTTCTCCCTCCCTTTGTATGTATGTATGTATGTATGTATGTATGTCTTTTAATGGAGGTACTGGGGATTGAACCCAGGACCTTCTGCCTGCTAGGCACTAGCTCCACTATGGAGTTACGCCCCTCCCTCCTTTTTTTGTCTTTGCCTTTGTTTGTTTTTTTAGTCTAGGCTATCATTTTGCTGCACCACATCTCAGGTAATTTCTTAAGAAGGGGTGTGTGATATGTCATAGACTTCCCGAGTCCCTAGCTTCTCAAAGTGTTATAGCTCCACTCTCACACTTGAATGATAATTTGGATGGATATAGATTCCTTCGCTGAAAATTGCTTTTTTCACAGAATGTTGAAGGCATCATTCTAGCCTTTGCTCATGAAAGCCCTGAGGCCAGTCTGCAAACTTTTCTGTTCCACTAGGGAAGTTTTTAGGATCTTGTCTTTATCATTGCTATTCTAAAACTTCACCTTGATGGTGCTCATATGTGGGTGCCTCATTCACTCGCTGTGTTGGAAACTTGGCGTCCCCTGTACAAGCCGTCCTTCAGCTTTGGCGAATTATTTTGTTTTCTTATTTGAGAATTTCTTCCCTTCTGTTTTATCTTTTTTTTCTGGATATTTCTCTTATCCAGACATTAGGCAAATTTCTAATTCACTTACCTCCCAACACGTTCTACTGAAATTTTAATTTCCATAATCCTATTTTAATTTCCAATAGCTCGCACTTATTTTCTGCCCCCCCTTTCACAGCATCCTGTACTTATTTCTATTCTCCCTCATTACCTATTCATTTTTGAAAATTCCTTCGGTCTTCTATTTCCTACATTATTTCTCTTTATTATGAAGCATCCTCCCCACCCCCATTTATCTTTATCTTTTTTTTTTTAATGCCAGAGGCTTTTTTTCAAATGTCTGATGATCTATGTCTTTTCATATTTAAGAGCAAGGCTGGGGTGGTCAGGTGGCAGATTTCTTTTCATTTGGGCAGTAAGCCTGCCTCACGTGGGGGTTCCAAGTAAAAGAGGCAGAAGTCCCTTCTTTGGGGCCACTGAATTGAACCCTCTGACGGGATGGATCCCTGGCTGCCCCGTGTGTTGCGTGGGAGTTGACTGCTCCAGATACCGTTGGTCAATCCTCACTTCAGCTGTGGCTGTGTCTCCTGCCTCCTCTGCACTGTCCAACCTCATATCATCTCGGGATAATGGGATAATGTGCGGCCGTCTCAGCTGCCTCCCCCCGAGTCACTGTGCTCCACCGGCTTCATCAGTGACCGCTCTTTTCTCCATTTCTCAGCTTCTGTATTTTGCCTAGAATGTTTATCTGCTAGTGGCCTCCCTCCTGGTCTCTTTGCCATTGAGAGAGTAAATTTTTCCTCATTACTTTATAATCATTTTAGTGGGATCACAGAAAGGGAAGTGGCAAACCCAGGTGGCCAGTAATCTACCTTTAAAGGGAAATCTTCGGTTCCCTCTTAATGTGTCTGTTTTACGTTTTGCAGAGTGTAGGTCATTGTCCTTGATATGGGAATGAAGCAAAGTAAGAATTTTACCATTATAATCAATATCTCTACACTGTGGGAAACGGGGTTCCAGGGGGCTTCCCCTTTTCTGTTTGGCTGCTTTTGTTTTATCTCTTTTTCCTTCAGATGCCGTTTCCACACCTCTCTAGTCACCCTGTCAGAGACCTCTGCACCCTCACATCCAAATGCCAATTTTTTTTTTAAACTGCAGTATAGTCAGTTACAATGTGTCAATTTCTGGTGTAGTGCATAATGTCCCAGTCATGCATATATATGCATATATTCATTTTCACATTTTTAATTAAAGGCTATTACAAGACATTGAACATAGTTCCCTGTGCTATATAGAGGAAAAAAATTTTTTTGAGGAAAAATTTTTACCTATTTTTATATATAGTGGTTAACATTTGCAAATCTTGAACTCCCAAATTTATCCCTTCCCACATCCTTTCCTCGGTAACCATAAGATTTTTTTACTATGTCTGAGAGTCTGTTTCTTTTGTAGATAAATTCATTAGTGTTCTCTTTTTTCTTTTCTTTGTTTTTAAGATTTCACATATGAATGATCTCATATGGTATTTTTCTTTCTCTTTTGGGCTTACTTCACTTAGAATGACAATCTCCAGGTCCATCCATGTTGCTGCAAATGGCATTATTTTATTCTTTTTTTATCACTGAGTAGTATTCCATTGTATAAATCTAACACAACTTCTTTATCCAGTCATCTATTGATGGACATTTAGGTCGTTTCCATGTCTTAGCTATTGTACATTGTGCTCTTATGAACATTGGGGTATATGTATCTTTTCGAATTAGAGTTCCCTCTGGATGTATGCCCAGGGGTAGGATTGCTGGATCATGGTCAGTCTATTTTTAGTTTTTTAAGTAATCTCCATACTGTTTTCAATAATGGCTGCACCAAACGACATTTCCACCAGCAGTGTGGGAGGGTTCCCTTTTCTCCACACCCTCTCTTTATGGTTTGTGGATTTTT